AGGCACAGAACAGTCATGCTACACCTGTGCAGTTCTCAACCCTTCTGCTACGCACATCATTAGTAGCCTAATGAAATGGACCTATGGAAATGGGACTGGCACAGCTGCTTTTACATGGATCAGCCATAGCCATCTCTTCTGCTCAGGAACAACATGATTTAGATTTGGGTAATAAAAAGTCTCAGTGGATTGTGCTATTGGCATCTGTACTATGCGGTCCATTAAATTGACTGGCCCAGAGTGTGACTGCAGTTCCCTGTGTGTAAGCCTGGCAGTACTCCAGAATTACAACAGACTAAATAAGATAAAAAAAAAAAAAAAGGCTGTTTCTTTTTTTCAATTTTGCAACAGTCTTTTAAAATCAAGAGGTTTTGCTGTAGCTTTTCCTGTTTTGGTGGACTAACTCCTTTAGGTGGCCAACAGTGTGCCAAAGACATATTGGTACTAACAAATACACACTCCCAAACTGTGGTTTAGAGATGCAGTACATGCTTCTGTTGACTGCAGATGGATAAATAAACTGTGACAGGCAAATAAAAATACTGGGCTACTACCCACCATAAAGTAGTAAAGCTGCTTTCAAGACATGCTCCCAGTAGGAATGATCTCTGTCAATATCCTTCAAGGAAGCCTCCAAGATTTCGTTATGAGCTTGTAACTCGAGCAACATTTGCAGCATGAATGTTGTGCTTGAAAACTTCAAGTGGCATTTCTGTGCTACATAGCTGAGCTAAACAGCATGCTGCTTCTCCACGCAATTTTTGCAGTACCTGTTGAACATGGTCCTGATCAACTGATATCTTATGTGTACCACTACTTACAGCAACTCTCTTACTTTGGAGTAATGTCTAAATACTGCTCATTTTTATTTTTAAATTTCACTTTGTGTGTGTGTTTATACCTGTGTGGAAGCCTAAGAGAGCATAAACCACTGCCTATTTTAAGCAGTTTAATACTGATAGAGTACAAACATGTATTTATCAGAAAATTTTCTGAATTTTAATGTATGAAAACATATCTGCATTGAAAAGTGACAGTCACATATTTTTTTTCTGATCTGTAAGGAAGTACTAGTGGTTTCCTCATGTGGTATGAAAAGGCTACTACAATTTCATGTCCATGAGGAGAAGTGAGGCTGATGTGCATTCACTGGAATACATGAACTTCATTAGACTAAGAACAATAATTTTATTCCTAAACTGAAGGAAACTTTAGTGCCTGAGATCTAACCTGGTTTCTTGGTGCTAAACAAACAAGACATAAACAGTAAGTAAGTCCTTCGTTTTGGAGTGGCCACTCCACTCTGCTGGTTACTCAAGGACTTGGAACTAGTGATATGCAATCTGTCAGCTTTCTCTTTTTCTTTTTGGAGTAGAAACAGAAGTTCAGTAACTTTTTGGGAATTTGTATATACGTTTTTTGTTATTACTAACTCTTGTGTGTTACTAGAAGCGCCTAGGCTGGGATTTTGAGGACTCCCTTTTATCCTTTTTTTTTTTTTTTTTTTTTTTGCCAAGTTCTAGCACTATCTTAGAGTAAGTTGCTTCAGGTTGTAAGACCATATATGAAACCACAGCTATAAAAGTTCTGTTGGTCTCCCTTTTGTGATATAACAGTTTAGGGGGGCACACAAAAAAATTCTGATAGTATCTCCCTCCAAAGCTCAAGATTCGGGCATCCTCATTCCATAGTCCTGTCTTGGTTACATCTACATAATTGCTGCTACAATCTGAATTCAATTAAAAGCTCTTAATTGGTCATCCTCCCAAATGTTTCAGAAATGTCATTCATTTTCAGAGATGCCTAGAGATCTGTTGCCTAACATAATTTTAGTCTGACACATAAGTAAATTACACTAATTGTTCAGCAGGAATTATGCATCATCAGGTTATTACTGTTGCTAGGTTCATTTTCCGAAGATCTGTCCCTTTCCTGTATCTGTACTTAAGCAGTGCCAAGCACCAGCACCTGTGAGCCTCAGTGCTGACTGGGAAAGAGCTACGTCACTGAATTGGAAATGGACATAAATATTGAATGTACTTCTGAACTGATTGGAATATTGAAATACCCTGTGAAAAGACAGGTCACCTTCAGGTACAGAATAATGATACCAATTTTCTGATTAATATTAGCTTTGCCTTAAACACAACTATCATTAATGAAGCAAATAGCCATCTGTGTATTGTCAGCTATTAAAATGATATCTAAAGAGCAGTTCATCAATAGATTTCAAAGCTTATGCTTCTGAGTTCACTTTGAGAACACACACTCGTATCTCCCATTTAAGACAGGCTTAAGACAGTTCAGAAAATTGAGTGATCTGGATGATTTGGGAATTGTAACTGAAGAGAGGCATATGTGTATGTGCAGAAGCTAGTTCAGGTGTTTGTGAGAGTGCTGGGAAATGAGCTCCCAGGTGGAGTTCTAGGGGGATTCTAGGTCAGTTGTGAGAACAAGGCAGGGAGATTGGAAGGAGGAAGGTGAATTTTGGTGAGTTAAGTTTTTGGCACAGGCTAAAAGAGGTCTTGCTGATTTGAGCAAAGATATGTTTTCTTCTGCTCAGAAAACCATTACTTGTACGTGAAGAAGGCTGCATTAGAGGCGTGCAACCCCCATGGTCAGTTTTCCCTCTGAAATGAAATCACAGAAAAGTCCTGAGGTTCTGACAGATAGCTCGTGTCAGAGACCCATAGTAGGATCCTGAGATGATCATGCATAGGCTTGTAACCAGTGGGGAGCTGAGGGCTCAGATCAGCACAGGCAGTGAGCTCCATGCTAACTGCAGTAAAGGAAGACGCAGGCAAATCTTGTAGTGGTGCTAGAGCCCATGCTTTTTTTTTTTTTCAGGTGATTTTGAAGGACTAGGTGCTCTATGGAGCAGCCTTCAGGTACCAGCTCTCTTCTCTCTCCCTAAGCAACCACAAGAAATGAATCAGAGTATCTACAGACACTTAGGATGTTGGCTCAGCAATAAAACAGAAATGTGGTTTTCTCACATGGCTCCTCAACCATCCTGCCAAAGCATTTCCTGAAACTTCCCTGAAATGTCCTAGGTGGAAATTCTCTCTGCATACACAAACGGCTTGTTTTATTAAAACCAGTATAGCATTTTTCATCAGCACCAAGGTCATGTGTTTAACTTGATATGTTCTTCAGCACAGAAATGTCAGCACAGACATGAAGGGCTGTGCAATTAATTTTTCAGGAAGGGCAATTAGAATCAGTGGGGGAGAAAGAGCAAGCTAGCAGAACACCAAAAGGCAGTGTGATAAAACACTCGAGTATGCCACATGCAGAAGTCAGTGTCTCTCAGTATTCAGTAGCCATCTGTAAAGTGTGATGATAGAGGGGAGAAAACTGAAGCCATCTAAAATAAAGTGAGGCAGGGCAGACAAACCAGTAATGTCAGAGAAGCAGTACACCTACTACTTGAAGTCATTTTGTGTGTGCCCAGACCACCACACATATAGTGCAGTAGCTACAATTAAAACTAAACCTTGCTAGTCACCTTTGCTGTAAAGTCTAGTGAAGACAATTATGCTGTAAAGTCTAGTAGAGACAATTACAGTTTTCCTCTTGTCTCTAGGTGGGTTGGGCAGTGGGGTAAGGAACCGAAAGTAAAAGCCTAGGTAAAGACAAAAGGTTTTCTTTAGCTGGGAGTGCAAAGCCACGGTCCTAACCTCAGTTTTGTTGCTGGCGAGTGCAGTGTTCTCGCACACTTTTCCATGCCTCATTTAAGCCTGTTTGCTGTACGTGCATACAAAGTTCAGCCGGTGGGTGTTTCAGAGGGTCCTTTTACCCAGGACAGTTCCGCTGCCATCTAAACGCCTCAGCAGGAGCAAGCAGATAGCCGTGCTCCTCCTGGCAGGGGACCGGGCCGAGACATCCGATACCGGTTCGTGTTCCTGTGAGGAGGTCAGAAAAGGAGGGCTTTTTGTGGCTGCCATCTGCCTATTTAAATGAGGCAGCAGCCTTCCAGGCTCGCCGGGAGCCCGGCTGAGCGGCGGGAGAGCGGGCGGGCCGTCAGCGGCCAGGCGGGTGACAAGGAGCCGCCCCGCCGCCAGCTCTGTTGTACGCCGAGCCAGCGCTGAAGCGGAGCCTGCGTCCCGGCAGCAGCCTCGGCCGCGGTGAGTGCTCCCAGGACGGGGTCCCGGCTCGCTCGGGCCGCGTAATTTCTGGTTCAGGGTTTGGCCAGGTTTTTGGAAAGGGGAAGAGGGGCGGAGGAAAGCTGTGCCTGGCCGCTGCAGGAGTACGGCGGGCCCCGGAGCAGCCGTGGGGCGCGGGAGGGAGCCAATGGGGGACGGCGCGGCCGTGTGACAGGCGGGGCGGGGAGCGGCACAGCACGGGGCGCCGCTCGGCAGCATCATCCGCGGCTGTGGGGCTGACACACGCCTTCCTCTACCTTCCTCTCCCCCGGTAGCCGCTCGCACACGCCTCGCCGCGGGCGGAGCGGAGTGAGGGGCGCCGAGGCAGACAAAGCAAAGATGGCAGGGATCCTTGCCTGGTTCTGGAACGAGCGGTTCTGGTTGCCGCACAACGTCACCTGGGCGGACCTGCAGAGCACAGAGGAAGCCGCCTTCCCGCAGGCGGAGGACCTCTACCTCGCCTTCCCCCTGGCCTTCTGCATCTTCATGATACGGCTGCTCTTCGAAAGGTAACGCGAAAACATCCGCGCCACCCCGGGTTCGGCGGGGCCGGACGGGCCGCGGGGCTTGCTGCGGCTGTTCGCTGAGGGGCAGCCGGGGGGCTCTGGCTGCTCGCCATCCCCCTCCGGACGCCGCTTCTCTCACGGCCTTGCCGGGCGCTCACATTTTCCCTCCCGTCGCGGTCGGTCACGTAGCGGGCCCGATGCAAGAAGGTGGAGGGGCTCGGGAGGCAGCTGGCGCTCCCCTGCCGCTGCCGACAGCGCGGCCCGGCGCCAGCGCTAGGAGGCGAGGTCTCCCCGGGAATGGGCGCAGCCCGCCCTCCACCTGAGGCAGCCGCGATGCTGTGGTGCCGGGGGACAGGACCCTCTGGCACCTGTGCGGGCCGGGTTCTGCATGCCCGCGGCGGGGTCCTGTCAGCTCCGCTCAGGGAAGCCCCGCAAGAAGCGCTGTGGGGCCGGGCCGGGCGGGAAACTGTCCAGGCAGAAGTTTGCCCGTTCCTCCGCTGCGGGGTCGCTCACCAGAGAGTACCCAGAGGCGAGGCCCGGCTGCCCTCCCTCCGCGTGGCCGTGGGGCAGGACACGGCCTAGCGCCCGCCGGCGGGACGAGGCTGAGGGGAGGCGGCGGCCGTTAAACCTGGGCGTCAGGTAGGAATGGGAAGTTCGATGGCGGACAGCAGCCTGAAGGTAAGGCGCTGCTGTGCGGCCGAGCGGAGGGTTGCTTGGCCAGTTTGTGTGGCAGCCGTAAGAATGGCCCGTGCCATGTCTCGGAAATACTCCAAGTACTTGTCAGAATGTGCGAGCTCAGTGATGAAACGCTCCAGACGCTGTTCATCACTGAACCAAACTCGGCGTTGTTTGAGATGGCTGAATTCAAAGTACACAGTACACAGTTCACAGACGTCAATACTATATATTTAACCACAAGATGTCAAACTAGTTGCTGGTCATCAGGCGCTGTTTTCTGAGGGTGTTTCCCTGCGGGTGTTCAACAGAGGCCGCCTGTCACTGGAAGGCAGCTGAAACGAAGTTGGTTGGTCAGCTGCACCTGTTTCTGTGCTGCCTGACAAAGGTGGTGTTCCCTCCTTCTGGAGAGAACAGAAGAACGATTCCCTGTGCCAACACCTATGTGTTTTCAGTACTGTCTTCTTAGGCAATGCTACTAGAGTAGTCAAGGAAGATAAATGAAGACCAGTAGTTACCACATGCCAAAGAAAAGCCATAAAGATACTTTAAAAATGGTAAGATAGATGATCTGTCAGGTAGCATTCCACAACTCCTACGCATTCTCTCGTCCAGGTTAGAATATGGCACTTGAGATGTCAGAGTTTTAGAAACTTGGCTGTTTTCATAACTCAGTTGACAGGACCATATTTGTTTTGAAAAATAAGCTGTCCTGGGCTGCTGTTAACTTCTGTGTTGTTTTACAGACTTCCTGAAAAGGACAGCAAAACCTGTGGTCTGCCTGAAAAGCTGAGGTTATCAAAAGTTAATATAAATGCTTTCCAGGGTTAAATATAATGTAGTTACAATCTGAGTGCCAAGTATTATTTAGATGTCGGATCATTAGTGTGTTTTTTCTTTGCAGTCTGTACAATGTGTACTTTTGAGCACTCAAACTGGCTGCGTGATGTTGCAACTCTTGCTGTCTGAACTGCGATATGTATCACAGCAAGGCTTGTTTAGATGGAGGAACAGTTAGTCAGGGAGACCATTTCAGCCTAAACTTAGAATCATGTTTTTTTTTGTGCTAGTTCTGATGCAGCTATTAGTGTTACAGAAGCTACTCTGATTATTTGTCTGTATCCACTTCCTCTGGTTATTTTTCTAAATTCAATTAAAGTAATTCTTAATTTTGCATTATGGTATATTTTTAAGTGTTAAGTATACAGATGAGAAAATCTGTACATTTTCATAGGCTAACTTTGAAATTTAGATCTGGAAATGCATTCTGCTAGCCTGATAGCAGGTAAGAGACCTCCAAAGAGGTTTTATTAACAATTACTGAGGTATGTATTTTTTCCTTTTTAATTCGCAGTCAATTGGAAAACTCCACTGTGAGAGTAGGATCAGGCTGTTTTGTGTGGGATTAATCCACACGGCATAGTACAATTGTGATTTTTCATGTAGAGCATTTTATTAAAGCAAGCTGAGCAAAAGCGACTGGACCTGCTTCCACTGATCAAAGCAGGGGGATTGTCTTTGGCTTGAATGGGGGAAAGATCAAGCCTTATTATGCTCATTAGTAATTTATTTTGTCAGACCTCTGTGCTGTGTTTGTTGGGAGCCACAGAAATGCCTCATGCACATCATAATTAAAGGCTGTTTGCAGTTATTTCAATTGATAAAGCCGTACAAGATCTGGAAAGGAAAAGAGAGGAATGTCTATTAAACTGATAATTTTTCATTCTTCTGTGTATTAAAACAGCAACATTTTTTCCTTTCAAAACTCAAGTTGTGGAGGACTGATGTACATGCTACATCCTGGAACAAGCTTTAGCAGATGTGGAACAGTTCCCTGTTTTTGCAATGGTAGCAACTAAAGAAAAAATAATACCTTAAAAAAAGGTCTATTTTTATCCATGGTTGCACTGCAGTATTTATAACAGTGTGTTCTCTGTTTTGCTTTGTAAGATACCTAATACAGGTGCTCTTGTAATTCTTCATACCGGTGGCTTAGCAGCCACAAGGTGTTAAGACTCTGATTATGTATTTTCTATCCATGACTTTCAGACCCTTTCACAGCAACTAAATGCTAGGCTGCTGGAGCAGCATGGTTTTGCTTCCCTTGATACGAAGTTTGTCTGACTTTATGGATCTTCACAGTAGTAAGACATAATGCTTCAGGGGGAGCTGTGATTTGGACTTCTTGTGTCTTTGCTTACACAGTCATTGTATTCTGGATAATAAAGCTTGCCATGCTAAGGATTAAAAGTTTACTTCATTTATCTATATTTAGATTTTATATACATATCCATTAGTACATGTGCGAGTGCAATTGAAATGACAGAACTTGGAAATTTTGTTCTATGCGTATTCACCTGTTATCAACAGTTCATCCTACTGGGGTGTTCTTGGGTTTTGCTTTTTGTTACTGGTTTCATGAATCAACTAACCAAGTCAAGAAAAGAATCCAGACACTTCTCAAATTTTTCCTTTTTTTTTTTTTTTTTTTAATCCATTCAAATAAACTGCTTTTTTGTTGATTTCCTTGTCCTGCCATTCAAATAAACTGCTTTTTGTTGATTTCCTTGTCCTGCCATCCTTTGACCAGCACTCTTGAATGAAAGGAAAGAGTAGATTAGAACAATAAGTGTATGCTGAATTGCTTCAGCAATTGGATCTGATGATGAGTGCTCTTGAAATAAGCTTTGCTTTGAGGTATAATCTCATAACCATGAGATTTAGTGGATATATCTGCTGAGGGCATCACGGTTATGGATGAGGTGCCAAAATGCCTTAACAGCCTTTTCTCTTTTCCCTTCCTTCTCATTCATCTCTTTCTTTAAACACAAAGTATATTTTGGACAACTATGATAACTGAGGGCAAAGATACTGTTGCCTAGTAATTTGGAAGATGGCAGGAGTCAGCAATGCAGTCCTAATGTGGGGACATATTTCTTCATAGTATCCATCCACTTTGTGTGCCTTACTATTGCTTAAAGGAGTGTAAGGAATTAAGTATCCCCTCCTGTACTGTACAATGCCTTCAGCTATAAGGAGATAACCTAAGTGCTCAATAATACCAGTGTCTTGTCTCCCCAGATTCTTTCCATTTCTAGTGTGTGCAAGACAGGTTAAAGCTGAATTAAAACTGGTCTTAACTAATAGCAGGATGTAGTTTTGATTGACCTAAAAAGATAAAGAAACATCTACTATTCTGGGCAAAGATCACTTTTCTTGTTTCTTTTACGGGATCACATAGCTCTTCTCCCTCTGTGCTACCTCACCACTCAGAAGCAGCACCCTTTCCTGTCCTCTGAGAGCAGCAGCATGTGGTTATATGAAAACAATGTCTACTCAGCAGCCAGCATTCTTGTTGGACACAAAACAAGAGGGTAGCGCACATCTGCTTTAGAGACTTCTCTCAAGGGAGAAGTTGACTGAATCCTTCAGAAGTGCTAACTAAACAGATTTCTGATGTGGTCAATCTTCTGAGTCAAGGAGTCCAGTATTACTGCCTTCTTTACACTTGCCTCATCAACTAAAATTCCTCTTATCTCATATTTGCATTGCAGTTGCAGTATGCTTTATACCCCTCACCTTGTTTGGTCTCTGATCTAATGAGATCACTCCATAAATTGGCAAACTAGGCTTATAATGCCTCTCTGTTGTCCTCTGGCCTTAGTAGGGGCAAGCTTTCAAAGGTAGAGCTGATATTCCATAGTTGATGGAGTGGCTCATATGGTTAGGGATAGCTTGATTATATATAGGAACAGCCCTCCAGCTGCGCTGATTTAAACTGAGCCAGCCTCGTAATTTATTATCACTTAGATCAAGATCCTCTAGACACTGAGTGTATGAAAATTCACAGCTTTTGTATGACATTTTGCTTTTATAATGATAATTCAGCCTCAAAGGTAACCTCAGCTGACTCTCATTTAGTATTACACAGTAGAATTCCTAGTGGATCAGGGTGACAATACAATGACTCTGTGTGTGCACATTATATATATATTTTGCTAACTGTAGAAATTCATTCAGGTGACAATACATGAAAGCCTTGCAAGTGTTTCTGGTGTGTGGTGTGTGCATATAAGTTGGATTTTCATAATCCCCAAGACATACAGTATTAGTGCTTTCTTACAACAGCAAGGAGGCTAGACAGGATACAGAATTTGGAAGAGGATGTACAAACTTCATGCATTTCCAGCAGCCCAAAACCTCTTCTGGGGAGGCTGGGTGGGGCAGTGATGGTTATTTCTGTTAAAACCTGTTTGTAGGTTATAATATTTGTAGATTTCTTGCTTAGTTTACTTTGTGTTAGGCGAAATCTGATCATTCAAGTATAATTCACTTGTAAGTGGATGCAGATGTTTGCTAACTTTCTTGGTTTTTTTTTTTCTATTTTATATATATGTATATATATTTTATATACATATGTGTGTATATATATATATTTTTTCTTGGTAAGATGACCTGTAAGGTTGTTTTTAAACTGTAAACCAAATTCTTTTAAAAACTGAGCACTAGCAGTAAGTAGCTTTAAAATAATTTCATCTCCCACTGATTGTACTATCCATGTCTCTGTGTTTCTTTTCATTGGTTATTAATTTTCTGTCATTTATGTTTTCCTGTATGTAATCAGTTTTTGTTGCAGTATTTGAGATTCAGCCACTAACACAAGTAGATACCTCGCAGAGAAATTATTGTTCTTAGCTTTTGAGCCATTGTCTGTGTTGGCATGGAAGGAGCTCTGTTTTACTAGCTCTGACCAGTGCGGTGTATGCTCACCCACCTTGAATGTGTCTCTGTTGGCTGGTACACATCTCTGTTGTGCAGTGTAGTTGTGTGTTTAGATGCAAGCTAAGAGTGCTCCTTTAAAAGAAGGTGAAGTGGATAAAATGCATACTATTTAAATATCGTTTGTAAAGGACCATTTATAGATGCGCATAAGTGCCAATCTTAAAATTGGGAGTTACATTGGG